ATCTATCTATCTATCTATCTATCTATCTATCTATCTATCTATCTATCAGTGTAGACCCTGGACAGTCCGCCAGTCTATCATATAATGAAAACAAAAAAAAAGTTTGAGGGCTTTCAATGCCGAAGAACATAATTCAGTCAACTGATCTTCTAAGAGACTTATAATCATCTGAACTACCTTCAGGTCCGTTTATGGTTCCATGTCAGTTTAACTTGGTTAATCCAACCTGGTAGCAGTTGGAGCCATATTGTTCAACAAACCTTGACATGATTTATTTTGGCAAAACAATTTGAACTGTCATGATTAGGGCAGGTAAACCTAACCCCAGGTCAAGATGACTTTGTCTGACCTTTGTTTTGTCAACTATCTGTATATTTCTATTACATATTTCTATTTATTTTTTGGTACAGATTTAAATTAAAAGATATCTAGAGGTAACTCAGTCATTGCAGGCTGATGTAACTGAAGAACTCAAACTTAGCATAGAAGATTGACACTATGTCATTGTATTGATGTCTTGGCTGAGGTTTAACTCTACAGGTCACAATGAAGGGGAACGGTCAGATGAGGAGGCGGGAATGCGACAAGTAAACAGATTCACTGTATTATAAAAGCAGGCGAACATTTCCAAACTCCTTGCAGCACCTAGTGAAGTCCTTAGATCACTTGTGGTTGTGAAGTCATGGGGATGAAGTCGACTGCTCTCTGCTTTGTGGTGCTGGCCTTGCTTGGCAGCCTTTGTGAGGCTCAGTACGCTAAACCTCAAAAACCCCAAGCCCCAACCAAACAGAGGCCTCAGGACCCCCAACAGCAAAAGCAGACTTTTGAAAAAGAACTCGACTGGAAATATCCTACAGATCCCCAACCTGAGCCTAAAGTTGAAGTTCCTTTTGAGCAGAGGTTTCCTATAGCTGCCTCAACTGTTGCTGTTGAGTGCAGAGAGGACATTGCTCATGTGGAAGTCAAAAAGGACATGTTTGGGATCGGACAGTTCATCGATCCGGCTGACCTTACCCTGGGAACCTGTCCTGCTGTCGCAGAAGATACTGCTGCTCAAGTGTTGATTTATCAATCTGCGCTTCATGAATGTGGGAGCTCTCTCATGGTAAGAATGAATCAAAATACAAGTCCTGGAAAATCAGCTAATGACCATTTGATATTTGAAAATATTTTTGTATAATTCTTATTTTTTTGTTTCTGTCCCTTTGCAAGATGTCAGGGGATTTCCTTATCTACACCTTCACTCTGAACTACAACCCAAGAGCTATGGGCAGCTCTCAAGTGGTGAGGACCAGCCAGGCTGCTGTCATCGTGGAATGCCACTACCCAAGGTGTGTACTGTAGCATTGTTGCTGTAAAGTGTCACGCAAAAATGCAGTGGACATAAGCATAACCAGTACTGGTGGATTACAAACTCTGATCTTTATTTTCTTTATGATTTCCTGGATGTTATTATATTAATTAGTGTAAAATTCTGAGTTCTAATATAATATATAATATTTTTTAGAAAGCATAATGTGAGCAGCCTTCCACTGGATCCCCATTGGGTCCCATTTTCTGCAGTTAAGATGGCAGAGGAGTTCCTGTACTTCTCTTTGAAACTCATGACTGGTGAATGAAATTACACACATCAAAGTATTGTGACTCTCATGCAAATGTGATTCAATATACATTTGTTAACATTTTTAAAATGTTGCCTCTCATTGCACAGATGACTGGATGTATGAGAGGCCAATCTACCAGTATTTCCTTGGAGACTTGATCCGTATAGAGGTTGCCGTGAAGCAGTACTTCCACGTACCTCTTCGCGTTTATGTGGAGAGATGTGTGGCTACCCTTTCCCCCGACTCAAACTCAAGCCCCAGATATGCCTTTATTGAGAACAACGGGTAAAGTAGCATGATAAATCATTAGACGCTGTTTTTTAAATTTATTTTGGGAACAGATTGACAGAAGAAAAGATGTCACTCTCTAATATGAATTGTTTTACTTGTGGGCAGGTGCATGCTTGATGGCAGGATCACAGGCTCTGACTCAAAGTTCATGGCTCGCACTGAACAGAACAAGCTTCAGTTCCAGTTGGAGGCCTTCAGGTTCCAGAGTGCTGACAGTGGGATGGTATGCACCCAGAATGCCCATCTTCATGTGTTCAATATTACAAATACTTGTGTCTTACACACTGTAATTTCTCAAACCTTACATTTCCCCAACAGCTCTACATTACCTGCCACTTGAAAGCAACATCTGCTGCCTATCCTATTGACGCTGAACACAGAGCCTGTTCTTACATGGCAGGGTGGGTTTTTTGTGCGTTCATATATTTCGATTTTAATTATTAAAGGCTGCTGATATGATACTAACTTCTAACATATACTGTAGGAGCTGGAGGGAGGCCAGTGGAATTGACCCCGTTTGTGGCACTTGTGAATCTGGTAATTTTGAGGTATACACCAGTACAGGGGTTGTCCCTGGCACTACAAATGTAGGTGGAGGAACAGGAGGTACTGGAGCATCAAATCCTATGGTACCTGGAGGAAACAGGAAAGTTCGTGATGTGTCCCAGGCTGATGGTATGGCATAAAAAAATCTGTCTTCAGATGCAATTTTCGAGTAGACAACAGTATTTTGCAATAACTTACCAAATATGAAATCACAGATGGATAGATACGTGTTGTTACACAATCACACAAATGTCCTGTGTAACGTTCCCCCATATCTTCCTTTCACAGTTTTTGAATGGGAAGGTGACGTCACTCTCGGCCCCATCCCTGTTGAGGAAGGGAAGGTCTCTGGGACAAAGGCTTAAGAGAATTTTCGGTTGAGGCAATGATCATTGAAATAAAGATTATCATTGGTTCATAATGTTGGATGTCATGCTCTTGCCTTTCAGTGGTAAAAATGCTTAAGCTAGGAATGAAAACTTGCTTGCTCTGTGGCATCACTACAGAAAAAAAAGTAACACAAACAATATGAAAAAGGAAAGAAACCACAGCTCTTTAAGAGCAAAGAGAAACTCATATGACACAACCTTCTGTGGAATGAAAATGTCACATTAGATTGTAACTCTTAACATTTGGTGGAAATAAAAAGTGCAATTATATGAAAAGTCTGAGTTACTCTCTGGGATCTGGTGATGGGGCAGTGGTTCAGTGGAGGGGGAAAACTGGGGTATATTTCCTGCTACTAAAAGTCTTTGAAGCACTTATACATTTAATAGCAACAAAGGGAATAACTATAACATCATAAAGTAAATTAATCTTCGAAAACCCAGAATCTTAACAGTTTCATAATCAGCGAGTCTGCTATGCCTAATGTAACAATTTTACAACAAACTCTGTGACTGAACAGTTGCAATGTAAAGGTCATACCCCCTAAAATAAACGTTGTCATTTTCACTGTGTGGCCAAAGTGAAGAAAAAAACGTACAATTCTCTTGTTTTACATGTCGTATCAGGTCGGACAGGTTTTGCTTGGTATCTACTGACCTCATTAGGCCCAAACTGCAAACTGCACTGAGCAGGTTCAGCACCACAAGCGGTGAACAGCTACACACACACTGCGGTTCTCAGTGCAGCAGGAGCCAGTTCAGGCCATTAAAAAATCCATTTCGATAAAACAAAGTAAAAGGTAAAACCTACCTAAGTAAACATATAAGTTTAAATGTGAAAATAATTCAACTGCTTTTTACTTTAGATTCTTACCACATCTGCTGTGAAAATACAAAAACAAAAAAAAAATGCTACATGATAAACTCTTTTTCAGATGTTTGTTGCTTCAAATCCTATTACTTGTTTCACTGCTCCTCTAATGGCATAATGCTATTCATACAAGTTTTGTGCATCTATCTATATGGTTTCTACAGTGTGACATAAATGAACCTGTAATATCTGCTTATGATAATGAAGCAAAATTAACACTGGGCTCTAATCATTTTAAAAGACCAGTAGGACCCACACACCGCCACAGAAACCCCCTTAAAATGTGTACACACGTATTCTGGGGAAGCCCTTGACATCACACAGGACATGTGCTAGCTCGAGCTAGGGGGCCACAAAATTCTCTGGTTGGGAATTTTTCTTTGTCAGCGCGCACGTTACGCTGGAAACATCTTTCTATTTCTTTTAAACCAAAGCCTCGCTACGCGGTTCTGTCTGCATCCTCCCAGCTCACACACGGCAACAACACTGACGTTGCATCGTCCCTGCCCCCCTCCTCCCTCCTCCCTCCTCCCTCCTCTCTCCTCCCTCCTCTCTCCTCTCTCCTCCTCGTCTCCGCACTGCTGGCCCGTCGCCGTTGTGTGGCACAGCCACAGCATCCTCATTTGGCAGGCCAATCACGGACATCACGCAAACCCGGCGCGATCCTCGCCTTGCGTGGACACATCGAGGCAACGCAGGATATTCCACGGCCCTGTGCACCCCCGCCCCCCCTAATCCCCACTCCCCCCCACCCACCGCGCGCCGGAGCGCACCGCTGCCCCTCGCACTGCTGCCGTTCCTGTTTCTGTGGATGGAGACTGCAGATGTGATGGAGATGATCGGGAGCGTCTGATCGAAGGCTCGAGGCCAGGCGGGCATTTGCGGGGCCGCAGAGACAAAAAAAAACCCCTCTGTCCGTCCACTGCCCCGCGACTGTTGATGGGCTGCGCTCTCTCCGCGATTTCCTACTGTCGTTCTGAGTCATTTGCGTTCGAAGATGGCGGACAGGGCTGAGATGTTTTCCCTATCCACTTTCCATTCCCTCTCTCCTCCCGGATGCAGGTAAGACCTCACACGAAGCGTGACAGCGAGGGGACGATGGCGGAGAATGCGCAAGGTTAAGGAGAGGAGAAGAACACGCCAAAAGCGAGATAGGCAACAAATAAAACGCGCTCCCCCAGCCTGAGTAGTCCAAGATATGTTTTCAATAACCTGCTGTCGGCCTGCTAAAGCCTCCCTGCGCGCTCCCTGGCGTCGCAGTGGGATGGCTCAACGACGGCTGTTTGTAAATGAGAGTTGTTTTATTGTTCATTTTACACCCCAAGCAATACCAACATGATGGGATGAGGCTGTCTCGACTGTAAGCCCGTTTGCGCATTCTCCGTGTGAGGCCCACGCCCTGTTGAGTCCAACCCAAGCAAGGGCATGTTGTTGCTGAACAATGATTTACTGAACACCCACAGCAGTCTCTTCGTTTGTGACTTTTCAGGCTGAGGTTGGATTTCCTGTCTTTAAAAAATACATTTTAATTGTCACCCAGCAGAGATCTAAGTTCAGGCACAATCACTTTGGTTAACCACCAAAGTTGGTTGGCAGTCTTAAAATGGCATTATTGCCTAGTATGCTATTATTGTTTATATTTATGTAATATAAGTATCATATGTTAAATACCACACCACTTTGGTGATTGCTAACACTTTTTTTTAGATGGAAATTTGGTAGTGTTCATTGTATTTTTACTAAATTTGCAATAAACTTAGTCTCTTTGGTGCTGCCCTAAAGCCTGTGTCGCCATCACAATGTTCAAATGACTAGTAACTCATTTTCCTTAACATGGCACATTAACATGCTGTAAGTGATGCTATATACGAGCAGACAAAACAGAACAGAACAGAAAAGATTTGAATGCATATAATATGTGCATGTATATAAAGGATTCATAGAGGATAGAGAGATAGAGGAGTCACTAATATATTTAACACAGCAGCCTTCCACCAGCCCCAGCTGCCTCCACATGGCCCATGTTCCTCTAAAGCAATCACATTAGCAAGCAGCTGGTGGATTTTATATCCAGGTCATGGACTCATCTGGGATTAGCTCAATCTCAGGGATAGATCAATAAGATCAATGGAATGGATTTTTGTATGATTACCAGTGACCTTAGGAGATCACAGAGCCAAACTCTGACCATGCCATCAATAAGTTACAGTTCCAGCACTGACACAAAACCAAAGCAGGGAATATAATTGTAGTTTATCATGGGAAAATGTTGTATTCATATTTATCATATTCCCTTCTTACTTGGGTATACTTTGCATCTGGCTCCACTAATTGTCTCATGGTGGTTAGCCATGAAGAAGCAGATCACTTCAGACATGTTTGGAGAAGGAGATTGTGTAAATCTTATCGTCCGAAATGGGGTGGGGGCTGATCACTTATATGCCATTGTTTTCTATTTCTTTTTAATGGCCTCATAAGTTGTTTCTATTATATTCTTGTCAACATTGGATCATTAATTTTGTACTTTGAATCACCAATGCTGAAAAATAGGTCCGTAGAAAAGTACAAATTGTGTTTGTCCAATAGATGTGTGTGTGTGTTGTTTCCTGCACCAGAGGTGTGATGGTGTGGTACAGTAAGCTGCCTTACGTAAGCCTGACTGGGAGGGACTATCTTTCCTTATGAGCTGCTGAATTTTGATGACAACCTACAATTTCTACAACAATAAGGGGACACTCGTCTCAGCCCATGCTAACTTAAACATATTTGATTTGAAAATTGTATCATTTTTACAAATCTTTTCTAATATGTACATACGTACATGTGCCTTTCAAGCAGGTTCTTTAATCTAACTTGAAAGATGAGATCGTGGTATTCAGCTTACTTAATTTTTTCACAACTCAATACGAATGTACCATGCTGAGATACATTTTTTCCGCAGAGAAAATGATTTGGCATAATTCTGCTGTCATTTAGTTAAAACCTCACTGTGATATCAAAAAGTGACAGCTCCTCCTGTGCCAAAATCAGTTTAGCTTACTACCTTATTCTTTACTTTGTTCAGTATTTTGGTTGTACAGGTTGTACTAGTTGCATATTTTAGATATTGATGGTTCTTATCCTGTTTTTGAATCCAGTTCATAAACAAACAAAAAAATAGATTTAAGTAAAAGCCTTAACGTTTTAAATATCATTTTTTTCTGGGTTTGTTTTCTTGGCATTATCTTTATGTATTTTTCTTACATTTCTGACAGTTGAAGTGCTTAAATGAAATGACTCAATTTGTCATTAGTTGTTTGAAATAACTCAAATAAATTAAAATAAATTAAAGCAATTTTTATTTGATTATTCACAAAATGTTCATTTAAAGCACCAAGTATACATTTAAAATCAAATGTTTTTACTGTTATCTTTTACGTGAAGGTCACTTAGATATGGAAAAAGTCTGTTCTGTAATTCAACAAGAGAAAGAAAATGTTTTTAGATTTCATTAATCCCTGACTAAATTTCACTGTACATCAACGTCAGTTATATTTTGGGCTTTGCAGCCACATAATATGTAAGCTTTCTTTTCCCATCTGGTGGATTTGATTATGTTTTTGTCTGTTTTCTATTGCGCACGACAGTTAGAGTTCAGCAGCTTGCCTGACGATGTTTCACATGCAAACAAATGAAGCCGGAAACTGAGCCACGGGCCTTTGGGGAAACAGATGACCTGCAATGTTTCCTGAGTCACAACGGCTCTGTATACTTTTGCACTGGTATTTGAACACTTAGGGTCATTTTAGTCCCACACACACACACACACACACACAATCCCTTTAGCTGTGAACCATCTTAACATGTCAGTGTTCTAATTTTGCCTTCCAGCTCTTTGAAGGCAGCTGGAGAAAGCCCACTGGAGGGCAGGGGGTGGTGGTGGGTATGGTTACCATGGGCTAAGAGGCTTAAATCAAATACTGATTCATTATAGCTTAAGCGCTCCATCTCTGCCACCCCCTGCCATCTCTTCATCTCTCTCCTTGCGGTTTGGTGTTTTTCCTTTTCTCCCACTGTCTTGAATTGGTCTCACCTTTCAATGTTTTTTTTTAAGAACTGTTCCTATAGTCTTTTTTTTCACATTTCACGACAGCCAAGTCTAATTTCTACCATCCATGAGATTGGTTCTGCATCCCTATAGCACCGCTGAACGGTCCAGCCACAGCCTTGGCGTTATGCTTCATGATGACACTAATCTGAATCCAGATAAATCCACAAGAAATCATGTGCTCACATCGGAGTGATGCATCCTCGCCACCTTTGGTTTAAACGTGGCATGATGTTCGCATTTGACACACAATCGTGAGTTCTTCATTAGGACAGAGGAATGACTCATACGTGTGCGGGATTCGTGTGGGTGTGTGTCTCTGCTTTACCAGAGACGGATGGTGGTTGAAAAGCTTCGGTAAGGATATTATTAATGAGTCAGTTGCAACCACATCGATGTCCCAGGCTTTTAAAGATGATGTCACCATGAAGCAGGCTCTCATGGTTAAAAGGCAGCGTAATTACAACAAAGCCCATTCCCTCCTGCCTCTGTTTGATGTTGTTATTGGAGGGTTTTCTGTTTTTCTCTTTTTTAATATGAATATTCACCATCTAGACATACAGCATATTCAGGCATACACCCCATAGATCCCATTCTTTAGTGGGATCTATTTAGATTATATATTGCTAGCAGAGCTAACCCATTATTGATTAATCCTCTCATGTTTCTGAAACTGTAGTCATCATATATTTGCCTTAATGGCTTAAAGCAAGCCCTTCGATGAACTGGTGACCTGTCCATTGTGTACCCCGCCTCTTGCCCATTGTCAGCTGAGATGGATTCCAGCCCATTGGGAATAAGCGGTTTATAAAATGGATTGACTGAAGGATGCATGGCTTAAAGCAATACTTTCCATCTTAATGTTTTAGGTCCAACAGTACATACTTTGTTATATTTTATACAAATCTGAGAGGTAAATGAGAATGAAAATGGACACTTTGAGTGTCTAAAGTTGCACACAGTACAGAAAGGAAAGTGTGATGATTTGAAAAAAGGATTTTCTGGACAAAAATGCATTACAGATGACAGAAAATAGCAGAGTCTGACTTTTGCCATGGAATCATTTTGATGTTTATCTATTTGTTAAAAATGACCTCCAGTAGAAGGGGATAGAATTTAGGTTAAGTTTTTTTGTTGCACCTGGTCGAGCTGGGAACTTCATGGTGTGCGCAACACTGCATACTCCCATGGAGGCTGTCAAAACAAATGTGGACACTGCAGTTCTGGCTGTACTTAATTTAAAATGAATCCTACAATAAAACACTTTATCTTTTCTGAAAAGGTTTGAGAGCCTTTTTGAAGGGGATTATTCTTGAAAAAGCTCTGGTCTAAACATTTCTCCATGGCTTCAGCTTTAACTGACACAGTTTTTGTACATTTTGTGCTAATGGGGAAATGGGGGTATGCTCGTTTGTCAAAACAAACAGAAAACAAAATGGAGTCGAGAAACAGAATGTTGGAATTGGTTTAATTAATGGAACCAGAAATTAAAGTAAGCATTGTTTAAGAGTAAGTAGAAATAAAAAATCAGATGTCCATATCAAATGTTTTGTGCATTTCAATATGTGTGTTGAAATGCACATATTTATTTATTTATTTTTATTTCTTCTCTACACTGAATTCATGATTTTTCAATCATGGCTACAGCTTTCCCATCTAGTCTAATCTCCTCTGCTCATCAACCTGTCCGCTTATCCTTCAGTTTCAATAGATCTGGGGTTTTCTCGGGCAAATTGTTTTCCATCATGAATACACAGTTGATAGGCCTCAAATCATCCATCCATCCATCCATCCATCCATCCATCCATCCATCCATCCATCCATCCATCCATCCATCCATCTATTTCTTCTTTTCTACACCAATAAAATCCAGATTTTATAATATTAAATTTCTAAATATGTATGGGTAAATGTCATGCAAAGAAAGTTTGAAATTATAATCACAGCTACTTCTACTACAATATTTTATATAAGACAAATTTTACTCATCGAAAGATTGTTTAATGTAACTGTAGGTTACATCTTTGTTTGAAAATTGACAAACAACAAAGGCTCAGAACTGAAATCTAAATACTTTACTGGACAGTAGTTAAGGACTCACTCTTAGACACGTTTTCAGTTGCTACCTTTGACATTGAATCTTTATCCTAATGCAAAATGTTTTCTAATCCCCACCCAAATCCAAAAGCTGCAATGGTATTGGTTCGTGCTCTAGCCAGGACCAGATTAAGTTGTTAGATAAAATGAAAAGTTGGTCTGGCATAAAAGATCTAAATGAATGCAAATTAAAATGCAATTATTTGAAGATTTCCTTAAGTAATTCTCTAATGTAAAAACACATGTTTCTTCTTTCTTAGTTTAGTTAGTTTGTTAATGTAAATCCATTTTTTCTATGAGTAAAGGTTGGGAATTTTGGGCTAACATTGAGACAAAAAATAATTTTGGTGTACAATTTATGTAAGTCAAATTTAAAGCAGAATGTACCACCTTTCTTTTTTGTTGTTGGTTCACACAATTCCCTCACAGTAAGCAGATTCATGGCCTTTCTGTGCAGAGCTTGCTTGCCTACATGAGTTCTGTCTGAGTACAAATGCCCCCCACATCTGCACCTCCTGCAGTTCTTGAAACTGTCCCAAACATAAACTGCAGAGTGCTGCCCTCTGACACAGGGCTCTGTTAAAAAACAAGGAATTCAGGGTGGCATTGAAAGGAGTGAATACGAGTTTTCACAGTCAAAATGTCTGTGTTAGTGGGCTGCAGCAGTTTTCCAGTAGAGTGACGTAGATGGCTGTCAGCCAGGAAGCCTGTGTTCACCTCCATTCAGACTCAGTACCGACTGTTTACTCACAACTCCATTTTTCTTTAATGTTGTCATGTTTTTTTAATTTTTTTTATTTATTTTAGCTTTTATTCAGAGCTTGGGAGCAAGAAAAAGATCATGGCTTATTTTTTGTTAATACCCTTTCAGCATCCAGTCCATTTTAAAATCTCCTATTTATAACGTACCATGTGATGGTGGTCCTGTTGTTTTAAGTTATGCTGGATGCAAAAATGTGCAAAAATCATAATACATCTTGAATCTTGATGTGATTTACATTGAAATAAGGTCACAGTGGACAGGTAGCTGTAGGGTGATGCCCCTTAAACAGCAGATCTATCTGCCATGGGAGGAAAGTGAGAGAACTTCAGATTGGTTCCATTTCCAAAGTTGGGATGTTGGGATGTCATCTTGAACTCCCCCCCCACTGCTTATTATAAATCGGGTAAATAGTGAATACAAAGGGAATTCTTATAGTTATTTCTCCATTAGTCTCACCTCACAAAATGAGTTCCACTGGGATCTATTTACTTTGTTCTGGAGTTAGCTTGATCTGCATGGTTGTGTCTGAGCTCAAAATGGACAGTAACCAGGTGATTTGATTCCCAACAATCTGGAACTGTGTTTTTTACCTTACTCCATTGCAGGCACAAATGGTCACTGATTCAGTCACAAAAGGGAAACAAATGAACAACAAACACTCCCCTTCACATTTTATGTAAGTTCCAATGGAAGTTAATGGGAAACATGGAAAATTTGGATTATGGGTAAATGATGTGCTTGATCATAGCAAATTATAAACTATGAATGTAAAAAGCAGGTTTTGAAAAAACAACTTTTTTTTTTTTTAGTTGGCACTAAATCTTAAAAAATATAATACTATGCCTTTCTGCTGCCAATAAATGTTCAAGATTAACAAACACGTTAGACTTATTCAGGATGTTGATATGGACTGACTTACACAGCCTTAGATTCTGTAGGGCCAGTAGAAATGAGAGGATTCTGTGGATTTTACTTAGTATGAATGTCTATTAATGACAGATCTGGATTACCTCACAAATCCTTCCGTTTCAGAGATTCAAGCACCATTTTCATGATTAAGTTACAGCTGATTTTCAACAACAAGAGAAGCTGATGCTTCCAAAGACCAAAACTGCTGAGTGGCATAGATGTAATTAAGCAAAAAATCTAAATCCTCTGGATGTAGAGGTTGTAACCTCTTGGGTAACAACAGATGATAGACTACCCTCTTCAGTCTTAGTTTTTCTGTTTTTTTTTTATATAAAAACATGAAGGATTTGGTAGTGTGAGGCTTGTATGCAGGCCTGAAAGTTGAAGAAGAAAGAAATCCACCCATAGACTTGTGCAAGCAAACAGCAACTGGATTGGTCAAGAGACGGGGTTCCAACTTCAATAAAAACAAGACGGAAAGCTTTTCGGATTGTATATGTAAATTTTCTCTGTTTTCTTCCCTATCAAAAAAATACATATTTCCTTATTAAACAGCCCATGAATTAATTCTGCCCAGTCTCTATCTACACCCCACTCTGTGGTGGATGTAACTTATCTTAGGTCCGACTTGTTTTCTGTAACATTTTCAAAACTAGCAGCACCCTCCAAATGAGTCATTTGTGGGGCTTTAGAGAATTCTGAATGTTGGTTATGCTCATGAATGAGCTCTGCACAACTTGAATGAATTCACATTTGACATTTTCTTTGATGAAACATCTTTCCCATATATACTTTTTTATTTATCCGTGATACTTTTCTATATTTATCATTTATTTTGCTAGAATGTTTTCTGTTATGTTTCCATCTGGTCAGGATGGGAATCATTAAACAGATTAATCAGCTCTGCTGTTAGTTTGGAATGATACATGCGGTTTCCTAATGCTGCATGGTAGTCAGTTGGCCTTTTGTCTGATCATTGCAGAATAAGATCATATGGGTGTAAAAATAACATTTGTAGTTGTGTGGTTTCTCCAAAACAATAAGTAGAGAAACAAATGGAACATTTTTGTTATATCACCTGAATTGATCTTCATAAAGATAGAAATCCTCAAGAAGCACATATGACTGCCTGCAAGATCAGATTTTTTCTCACACTGTTATTACAGAAAAAATCATTGACATTAGCAATACTATTGTGATGTTAACAGAAAGTTTTTTGTTTAGTTTTTTTCAGAAAGAGATTGAAAACTGTAGGATTTTATGAAAGCCTCAAACTCGAAGGAAGCCTTGATTAATCTTTTTTATTTGAGTTTTTCAGCTTATACCAAAACACTTGTGTTGAGGCTGTCACTGGGATTGATGAATGGATGGGTGGATATTTCTGTCAGCACAGGATGGATGCAGTTTTATTTCAGCATTTTGTAAGAAGTGATGTAAATGTTTTAAAGATATGTTTAAAACAATGAGATTATATGATTTATTTAGTCTTTGCTTTGATACTCGCATCGATCTCTATGAACGTTAGTATGTAAATTATAATGATACCTTTTCACAACAGTTATTTCAGTTGTTATTGAGACTAGTAGGATTTGGATGCTTTCTTTATTTCACAGGCATCAGCTTGTTTGCATGTGCTTTCGAAGGACCAGTGATATTGTGAAGAAAAATACCCCCGCGTGACTGTGTGATGTAAAATAACATCCATGCGTAATGTGTGGAGTGTCCTCTTTTTAGCAGGAAAGCTGCAATGCAGCATTTTCTTCGACAAATTGCTAGCTTGCTGGTGCAGTCTGAAGAGTCTGCCGAATGTAATGGAGCACAGATGAAATACAGCAACCAAACTTGTGTTGACGTGGCTCATCGCAGAGACACTTATGCCTCCCTGTGTGGAGAGCTGGTGCTCTGAAGGAAAGTTCAGAAACTCCGATTGGAGGCAGCAGATGATAATTCACTAAAGTCACTCAAACACGTACTTATGTGGCCGTGTAAGCAAACGTAACTGAGACCCAGACAGAGAACGTTTTAACAGAGTGGAGCGTGTGGGCACAAATCATAGAGAACTTCATTTCTGGAGAATTCACAGATGCAAAAATGATATTTTAGCCAACGTTGTTAGTTTCCACCACATATAGTGAGTATAATCATTCTTTTTTTATTTTCAGGCCTGCCCATGACATCAGCCTGGAGGAGTTTGATGATGAAGATCTCTCAGAAATCACAGATGATTGTGGGATTGGACTCAACTATGATTCTGATCCATATGAGAAGGTGAGGCTCTATGTGTCTGTATTTCCCCTGATATGAAAACACTGTTTACCGTGACTGATTCTGCATAAACTGCATTCATGCAAGCAGTTTTAAATACTGGGGGTTTCCTCTCCTTTTACAAGTAAGGATTAATGACAACCTGTTGACAAAACGTAGTGAGTATGGTGAAAGGGAAAGTGTAAGTTTTGTCCACAATATTGAGCTGAGAGATTTATCACTCAGCAGGTATCAGGGTTAACTGTTTCAATGGTGGAAACCTATGTTCTCTGACTATATCAACAACACAGCTGCTCCCATCCAATGGAATGATGTTCTCCTTGAGTTGATAAAAATCACACTGTTGCTGTAGCAAAGTTAAATGCTTGCACTGTACTGCTGACCGCTCAGTGACAAGTTAATATTTACAATTTTGTGGAAACAGTTGATGGATAAATAATGTCTCGATGTCTCGAAAGAGATAACCCTCTGGCTTGTCAGCCGGTTTGGTAATGGTTCACAAGCTGTACATCAAAAAGGACAACTACCACCTTAAATCCCAGCCTTCAGACACATGAAGCTTTGAACAAAAAGGGTAAAACTATACTAACAGCTAATTTCCTAGAGCATTTGGTAAATGGTTACATTGTCTGCACACATCCGAATGTAATAATGCACATGATATCAATCTATTATACTTCAAATGTTTTCTCTACCATCACCAAAAGTTGAGAAGCTGTAACATAAACAAACAGTTTGATGACAGAAAGAGATTTTTTTGTGGATTTTTAAAATATGAATTCTGTGCTTTTCTATCAAATTTGCACATGGTGATTAAAACTTTTATAAAAATAAATAAACAAATAGACATATTCTTGCCAATTTTGGAATGTTTGAGAAACTATGTGGAATCTTAGGAACAGTCATTCCTTTACCAACATTCGGAGCATGTAATAGATATTCTTTTCGGTCTTTCACATAACAGCCATACTTAAGCTATTATGCTCTAAGCGAATAACTGAGTCATTAGCTGTAACATCGTGAAAGACACACCATCTTAGACTTAAATGATAGTCATCCATGCCCCCCTGTCTCTTTTTCTTCCTGTCCACGCTGTGGGATGTAAATGTTTTATGCTGGTGGCGTTGAGCCATGGCTGCAGCAGAGGGTGGGTGACCCAGTGCAGTTTGCTGCTATGCAGAGACAACCTCCTTCCCTCCCTCCCAAGTGTGTCTCCCTCCCTTGCTATGCAGAGTGTTGCTTAGAGACGGAGCTCAGACTCCTTCTTCTCTGCCACCCCTCAAGTCCTCTCCCGTTAAAGCTTTCTTTCCTCTAAATTTTCCTTCTCGGCCTCTCTTCCCTGCCGTGGAGCCCGGGCATGATGATTTATTTGAGGGCTGGTTGGTTCTGAGGGATAAGCTTTTGGCATGAATCTCAGCTGGAGATTTTGCTCTGCTTTAATCCCCAAACAAAACACATTATGGAAATAGAGCAAGGTCTGCGCATGAGAAGGCTTTCACAGCAAAAGAAAGTGTTTTTATTTCCTCACACGGAAGATCACACTGTAGGAAACACTGCATCGTTTCCCCCTTTCTCCCCCCTTCTTTCTCACTCTCATGTGTTTAAGCCCACAAACCTCTGCAGAAGCTCTGACTGCTCACTTCACAAAAATGAAAGCGCAAGGCGGAGAGGCTGTCGGCCTTTGTTACGTTACATCATTGCCTGGGGCAAATAATCTTGCTGACATGGGATGGGGAGGACACACACCCAGTTGTCCTCTGAGCGTGTGTGTGTATGCGTGTCTAAATAACAGGGAAAGAAAGGCGAGACAGGAAATTTTATGCACAGGGGGCTTCACATGGTATTTGATTTTGCCTGCTACAGTGGGATGGGTGACACTTTGTCAGGTCATTCCCATCATCATCATCATCATCAGCAGCAGCACACAGGTTTTTAAGCCTTGACGATTCTTTGATGTTATTAAGAAGGGACAATCTAAATAGTGAGATTATCCCTCAGCCCTTAGCCCCAGCTCGCATCAATTCTTATCTTTGAGGGGTTCAGGTCCTAATCTGAATAACCCTTTAGATTAGAACTTTATGTATGTGACAAGGGCACACGTCGTACATATGAATACATCCAACCGGAAGATGATGGCTTTAAGCAGCTTATTCTGTCGTCTTGTCCTGAAAGCAAGCTAATAAAGATTGTTATCTGATTTTCGGAGTGAACTGTAATTGGAAACCAAAATACTGTTGCATCGCTGGACCAGACTGTCCTTCCCATAAACATCATTGTCATTAAGGGAATGCATCTGAAGCTTGTGAGTCAGTATTTTCTTTCTTGATCTTTACATTTTATGAACAGCCACGGTTGAGAGACCACAGCAAAGGGTATCTCACCTTTTTACAGCATGTCTTTAAATGTCTCAACTAGATCTCATGAACACACACACACACACACACAGCTGCTCACTGCCTCTCCTCACCCCTGATTTCTCACTTCCTGTCTCTCTAATAGCCAACTCCATCTCTCGAGTTCCCTGACCGAACGGCATGAGTGCATGCATAATTTAGTGCGTGCCAGAGCAGTGGTGTCTGTTTCTAAGCTACAGACCGTCTCTTTGTTTGAAATGATGACTGCTGATTTACAGATGCACACAGTGAAGCCCAAAAATATTTACACTCACATCTGGTTTTCCAATTGTATTGAACTCTTATTCTTATTTTAATGAGATTATTTGCATTGTAATGACATAACTAAGTGGTGACAGATGGTGACTCATTGTTATGGGAATACTTTTTTGGCAAGTTTATAAAAAACAGTTGTCCATACTGTTGTCTGATAAATCAAGGGAGATACATGCATAAACCAGCCTTTATTTACCATTTTAGAAGTCAAAATGATCTTGGACATGTGTGTGTTTTTGTACTTTTTTAATACATTATAGTTTTGACAGTTTCTTTGTTTCCACAAAGTGCTCATAAAAGCCCCTCTTTATGTTTGTCCATGTGTTCAACTACTTCAACTTTTAGCCACAGAGTTGACAACAATACTGTTTCTTTGGCTTTAGAATGTGAAATTTAAACTAATATTCAGCCATTTTGCAATTATGACATTAGTATTGGTCATAGGATCGTGTCTTTACTTCCTCTATTGCCGTACTGTGTCAGTTTGTCAGCTTAGTTGGCAATATGGTTGACCAGAAGCCTGTACCCTTCATGCTAATCATAGCTCTCATCTAACAGCAGTGGTCAGTACATGAAGAACTGACCATGCAGAACAAGCCTGCTTTCACAATTATAAACTGTTTTCAAATAGTCATTAGTTTATTTTCCACTATTTTGAAATCGTTTCTTTTTTTTTTTTTACTTATCTTTATTTCATGCTATTGAAGAACTGAAATAAGTGCATGGATGTGATCAAACCTGCAGATTGTTGTAGCTAAACACCAAATCAATTTGCTCCCAGATACCTGTGAGTGCAAAGGAGAGTTCAATTCATTCACAATGCGCCTCCCACAGAAGTGCAGGTTTACCTGCTGGGCGACAGAGTAGGAAAAGTTGGGCTGTCCTTGGGAACTGGAAACCGTAGGGATCGATTCTTGCCAACACACAACTCTTATTTTTAGTTTTAGTTTATTTTTAAAGCTCGCCTGTGTGTCTGTCATTTCTCCTAACTGTGCATATAATTCTCCTCTTGCAGTTAAGGCATTTCTACAACCCACTTATGGCTGAGTGGGATATACACTTTCATGAAGTTTTTTGTCACAGAATGTAATTAGGTAGTTTATAAAGAGCTTTAGGATCTTTGACAGAATACAGTAAATGTTTGCTCCAATGAGAACAATCGCTAATTTCCAATTTCCACCTTAAAAGCCAAATGATAAAAAAAAAACTTAATTAGATAGAAATCTGCATATTCATGTTTGCTCCCTAGGCAGTAGAGAGGATTTTATTTCAGCTGCTGTAGGATAAAGTGGATGCACCAGGCATCAGCAGAACTGTGTGTGGTAGAGATGGATGAGAGCGTGAGCTTTGATTCCTCCGATAAACAGATTGCACTGAGAAGCATTAAAAACTGCTGAGCTCTTCAAACTGGAAATAACAAAGAAAAAGACAAATCAATTGCTGCCTGTCAAATCCCAAGTACAAAAGTGGTGGTCAATAACAAGAAAGACTAAAATATTTCAGTATTAGTAAGAGTGACATTTCAGGTTCACAACAGAAAGTTTTCATAAACCTTTTTCAGTTGAACTTGCTAAATTGTTACTTTATAGTTACATATCAATACATACAGACTCGTATAGGTGTGTTCTAACAAACCCTCAAAGCCATTAAGTGTTCCCCTTTCCGGTAAACAAGCTGAAACCTGAGATATATCTGATTGATCCACACACACTATGTCTCCCAGACTTGCTATTGTGCTCCTGTGTTATTCTATGATCTATTCAATGCAGTTAGGATTTACTGTATATAGCAAAAAATTACTACATATATCATTTTAAAAAATCTCATACCAACACGTTAAAGCCACAGATAATCCAAATTTTTGTCATACAGAAACAACCCAATAAATTCCAATGTATTCAAACACAAATGGACCCCTTTCATTAAAATGCAATTAAGATATAGTTGCCATCCAAAGGAAAAAAAGTAGTGAAAAAAGCTGCATCATAGAAGGTTTCCCAGTCTAGGCGTATAGCTCTTAAAATTATGGGATGTTTCAGGATCACCAAGCTATGCTTAACTATACGGTTCATAAGATAGGAATATTTTAAGCATTGTAAGCATTTAAGAGAGAGAGAGAAAGAGAGAGAGAGATAGATGTGCATGCTTCCTGAATCCAATCAAACTGGCTGCTGGTTCCGCAAGAAAGTGCATTGCATTTTTTATCATATTACAAAGGGGGAAAAAGGCAATCCCAAAGATCTAGCTGTAATCAGATGGAAAAAGAATCTGACTATGAGGTAAATGTCATGGAGTCCTTTGGACAAAAGAGACACCAGGAACCCAATTGAGATGTCTATGTTTATGCATTTTGCAGATGCCTTTATCCAAAGCCACTTATAAAGAAGACGCAATGTTACAGTTACCACAGATCCTAAAAATTAGGGTTCTGAAATAAAGATGTGGTGTCTCAAGCTTTTTTGAATCGTCACATAAGCAGCTGTGTGTATATTTCCACTACTTTTGGAAGTTGTAAGTGCAGACTCTTATTTATGAAAGGATCTTTTCCCAGCTCTCAGGCATTCATTCATGCATTCTGAAACTACTGTTTCAGAAAGTCCCTTAACCCAGAATGGGGATTTCCTAAAAAGCAGAAATACAACCCAAGTATTTCCAAGTCAGTGCAAACCTTTTTATTAAATTTGTACTGTAACAGACACAAAGTTCTTCTCAAGGGAAATGGAAGGGGTGGATATAAGCAGCGTGTGCAGGTCTCTCTTCAGATTTTACTCCCATCACGTTTTGGTTGTAAAAGTTAAGACTAAAGACAATTAGGTAAGATTTGATTCAATATCAAACCTATGCCGTTGACAGGTTCAGGGAAAGTTTTATGTTTTTAAAACCCAAATGACTACAATAATACTCTTGGCCATGTCAGGCCTAAATCTTGCTTGAAATTGAATTATTCCCAAAACACTGCTGACCGTCAAGGCTACCCTTTGTTTACTTATGTACATGTACAATCACCCTCAGAAGACCCAAGGCCATAAAATGAGCTTATCAGCAAAATGCGCTGAAATTGTAAACCCTGTTGCAGAGTTGTCCACTGCAGCACTTCACTATTTGTTGTGTTTGCAGATATGTTGTGCTCGATCCATCTGGTTTCTTGAAAGTGTAATATTCTCTTAAATGCACTTGCTCTCTTTGTTTTGTTGTCAGATTAGAATAACCTTTTCTATTATCTGGCTATTATCACAAGCATATAAGTGTTATTTTTAAAAGGCGCCTGCCTCCCTCCCTCCCTCCCTCCCCTGTTTCAGGATTCCCTTATTCTGGAGAAGAATGACCTGCACCACCCAGTCTGCTCCTTCCAGGATGACTTCCAAGAGTTTGAGATGATTGATGACGAGGACGAGGATGATGAGGAAGAAGAAGACGAAGAGGAAGATGTTGACCCTGATGCGCCCCCATCTCCCTCTGCTTCCCTCCCTTCCTCTCCTACTCTTGGCACTCTGAAGAGCAGACCCACCACACTGAACCTCACCACAGCTGTTTCTCAGGTAAGCAGACAAACACCAGACACCTGGCACGTGAAAGCTCTTTGGAACAGAAACACACCAGGTTTTTCATTATTGTCTTTCTCTCTTTGTTATCATTAGGACTCGCTGAACAACAACAGCAGTTTATCCCCAAAGAAAGGAAGTTGGCAGGACTCTTTACGAAACCCAGCCTCCCAAGGTGAGAGCATCACAAATTATCCATAAAATCCCTGATGTGTAATGTCTTGTTCTCATTTGTGTTAATATTCATTTGTCTCTCCATTACATGTGAAAATTACATGTCATAGCTAATTCTGAGTTAATTTCAAGGTCCAAATAACCCATCTTTGTTGTAGTCTTTAAACAATTTTACAACAATTAGATCTCCGATTTGCTTGAGAGCCAGTTCTGTAAGGTCTAATAACCTTAAATCTATGATGCATTTCTCCATATTAACTTCAGAATAAATATCCTGCACTTAGCTCAGGTTTTCAATGGCTAAGGGAATTTATATTTACTCTACCTTCAGGCCGTCTGTCTCCAACCCACACTTGTCTGGAGGATGGTAGTCATGTGACAGGCCAGTGCCCAGTATCTCCAGTTTCCCAGGCCCCAGGGTCTCAGAGCAAAGGTACTCTACCAAAACAAGCAGGGGAGGGCGGGAACCCCCAGTCTCCTCATAGGCCCCTCCTCTGTGACATGGAGGGCAACAGGCGGGAGAGGCCCGAATACGGTAACAAGAAGGCCGGCCCACAAAGCCTAGAGATCATCATCATTGACATCATTGTTTTGCAGTGCTGTTATGTTGTGTGACTGTGACTTCTGTCAAAAGTTCAGCAAAGCATTGTTTTGTTAATTCTTACCAACCAGAACGTTCTACATTTTAAACTACAGTTTAAAGAATATAGCAGTGTGTTTTCAATAACATTTTGCTGGACTTGTCAATTTGACATTCTGTTTTCATCCTTTTTTATAGACCAGTAGATACAATGATCACACTTCTGTTTATATGTTTACAGTATGTTGTATGTTTACTCTATTTATAGCTGCATCCTCTACTCATTTTTGCATTCTTGTCATCATCTACTTAATATTACCGGGGTTATGCAGCACTATCTGTCGCTTATGTCTTTTCTTCTGTCTGCACACTTTTATCTTCACAGGCTCATTTGGTCAGCATAAGTCCCACCCACACTCCGCTGATATCACTGAGTCAAAGACAGAAAAAATCCAGACAGCCAGAGTACCCTCCATAGATGAGCACTCCCAGTGTTCGGACACAGAAGTGGACCATGACCTCAACAGTGACCACAACCGCAAACATTCAAACCGTCGTGCTACAGACACATACACAATCACCAGTGAGTCAGGGATGGAGCAGGAAAATGACCTGGACCTGGACGGAACCAGTCACTGCTTTTCTTCCACTGCCCCAATGGGAGCTAATGATGAAGCAGACACACCCTTGTCTGAAGAAGAGCTGGAGAAGGATTTTGAAGTGGAGTTTATGTGCAAAGAGACCTATGATATGGTCTGTAAGGAGAATCAGTCCTCATATGTGGAATTCCCCCCCATTGAACCCTCTGAGCCTCGATTGTTCTCCAGCTACAAGTCAAACCACTCAGAAGTTTTTGATGAGTCCAACAGTGCTGATGCTCCAGCAGCCGTCATGGAGGCAGCAGCTAATGATTCCACCTCTCCATCCTCAGACCCAGGGATAGCAGATATGAATCAACAGGGTTACATGACTTCAGACCAAGACAAGGACCTCAGCTCTCCAGGCTCTGATTCTGACATTGAAGGGGAGCTGGAGGCAGCGTTTGCTTGTGGAGGACCTGTCGTCTCCAACATGATCTCCTCTATCTCAGAGACAGAGTTGGACTTGACAAGCGACGACAGCAGTAGCGGACGCTCGTCTCACCTCACCAACTCTATTGAGGAGGCCAGCTCACCGACATCAGACCAGGAACTGGACCCAGATACAGAGTTAGAGCAGGATAGTGGAATCGTTGGACTGAAAGCATCGCTGCTGCTGGGTCAGCCGGACCCAATCAAAGAAGGCTCTATGCTCCCCTCTCCTTCCCCTCTTCCCTCTCCCACTATTGCCACACCCTCCCCAGTTGACTCACCTATATTACCACCTGAGTCCTATGATGATGGACAAGCTCTGATGCACCTGCAGAGTGTGGATGATGAGCTTTCCTGTGAGCATGAGGCGGACCCGGATGAGACTCTGCCTCCAGCCCAATGCTGTGAGGATAGTCGGTCCAGACCAATGGTGCTCCAGATAGAACCAGACCACAGCCTCGAGAGCTTCAAGCGCTCTTTCTACCTGCCAGTTGGGCCGAGGCTAATGCCAAGTGCAGATGAATATGATGGAACAAGTGAGGGAGACTCTGAATCAGAAAGTGAAGATGACCTAAGCGAGAACTCAGATTCTCCTTGGCTTCTTAGCAATTTAGTCAACAGGATGATATCCGAGGGCTCATACCCAATCAGCTGCCCGGAGGATTGTTTCAAGAGAAAGGTGTCTGTTTCTGATACCATCTCACCATCTTCAGACATTGGAGAAGGAGACAGTCTCAACGATGAGGACCAGTACAAAGAAAACGACATGGGTAGAACACAGGAAGGAGATATGCAAGGGGGAAATTGCCGAATAGACAGAGTGGAGCCAAGAACAACAGGTAGGGATGTTGAGTCTCTGAAAGGAGTATTACTAGATTCCCATCTCTATATGAGCAACCCCACTGGAGATACCATAACCCCACTGATTTTAGATCACTGTCCTGATAGGGGAGCCACAAATTTCAGCTCCTCATATACCAAAGACTGTGACAAAAACTCCACAGAAAAAACATCTAAAAATACTGGGAGACTAGAGGAAGACGAAGAGCCCAACAATGACTTGACGATGCTGCAGGGAAGAAGAGATCTGGAGTCTCCCAGTCTTAGTGAGAGCGTGGTCAGCGATAAGGATGAAGGACGCGAAACTGAGCCCAGGCCAACAAGTCGCTCCTCAGCATCTCTTGAACGCATTACGGAGGTCAAACACAGTCTGACGCTTGACATACCCACTGCTCAGACCAACCGCTGTTTTAGCTTCACCTACTCCACAGATAATGAGGAGGAAGAGGACGATGGTGACTCTTACCCCTTCCTGGGTGGCTTAAGAAAACAGTCCTATAGTGGTAGTGATTTGGAGCTTGACAGCTCTCCACCCATTGATTCCAGTGTGCAACATGGTCCATTGCCTGATCATGACATCCCGCTGTGTGATAAACACCTGATTCTGAGGCAGCCAACGGAGGATGATGGACTAGCATATGACTCCATGAAGTACACACTAGTGGTGGATGAGAATACCACCCTGGAGCTAGTTAGCCTTAGAAGGTAGGTCTGACATTATGTCAGAAGTTAAGTCAATTAAGTACTAATTATTGACTACCTAGGCATTTACCTTTTTACTTCTCACAGTTGTTGAGCCTTCAGCTGCGAGTTTTATCCCCTTAGGTGCACCTCCGTTCTAAGTGACGACAGTGAGCTTTCAACCATATGTGATGAAGAGCCTTTGGGGAACGTCGAGATGGTGTTTGGCCGTGACGATGATGAGGGGAAGCCAGAAATTCTCAGTTCTTCTGAAGATTCATCTCCTGAGGCCGACCTCCCATTTTCCAAGAAGTTCTTGAACGTGTTCGTTAACAGCACATCCCGCTCTTCCAGTAAGCTTCACACACTTCTGTTCTCTTTGACTATGTTAGGAACATATTGCTTAAGACTAAAGGCTGAGGGGAATCATTAGCCTGATTGAGAAAGGGTTAAAAAGAAATTATTTAAAAGTACTAAAGTTATAATTAGCTGTTCGATGTTTCTGGAATGAATATGGTACATTAGGGTTTAACACATCACTGTCAGCATGATACATTAACATGCTATCTAAATTTGGCAGGGGGCCCACATGCAACCCGTGGAACTCATCAATCAGTGCTCTTACCTCAGATTTAAATCTCTAATGAACGATGATTTGTATAATGAAAAGCTCATCAGTTGAACCTTCATTTGCATAGTGTTTTCTGCAGTTCCAGTCACCTTTTAGTCAGATATAAAAACTGAGGTATTTATTAGCTTTGGGAAAATACTTGTAGAACTATATTTCCTTTGTAGTCATTAAAAAAAAGAAAAAAACAATTAATTTTCTGGATCTGTCTTCTTTCCAGGCACAGAATCCTTTGGACTTTTTTCATGTACCATAAATGGAGAGGAACGGGATCAGACACACAGGGCAGTGTACAGGTAAGATTTCAAAGCTAATGACAACAAAAGCAAGCCATAAATGATGCAACTAATACCTGTTTGCTTTGTCTGTGGAAAGGGGGAAAGGTGTCATGCAGCATAAAAACATAATTCTTTTGTTTCATGTTGTTTTCATGCTGTTGGGGTCCCACAGCAGTAATGCCACATTAATTGAGTTTGGGATAAAGGCAGGTGTCTTGGTTACAGCTGGACGGGAGAGCTGCTGGGTAACTGACAGTAATCTGATCAGCCACCATCTGTGTCCACAGACACAAAAGAAGACAAAGAGGCTACACGCTCCTTTATAGTTGTCATCCTCTATCCTCTGCATGTTTTCTTTCTCTGCTTCCATACTGGAAGACACTTAACAAGAATCTTCATTATAATATGAAATGTAGTTTTCAAGAGGAAAGAGGAAATTGTCTCTAATGAGACCATTTTCTCTTTTGTGCCCCTCCCTTCTTCTGCCCCTGCCATCTGCAGGTTTATTCCCAGACATGCAGATGAACTGGAATTGGATGTGGATGATCCTTTATACGTAGAGGAAGAGGAGGATGACTACTGGTACAGAGGCTACAACATGCGAACAGGGGAGAGAGGAATCTTCCCTGCCTTCTATGCCCACGAGGTCATCGGCCAGTCCAAGGAGCTGCTGAGTGAGTGGAGAGACGCATCCACATATTTTGTGTCACTTAACTGAGAATTTCAAAGATATGACGTGATTTTGATCGCATACTATAGGCATGAAGAGGAATCCAGCATGGATTGAGACTTTCACTGTTCAGTTTCTGGGCTCTGTTGAGGTACCTTATCACCAAGGCAACGGCATCCTCTGCGCTGCCATGCAAAAGGTCAGAAATGGGAAAATCTTCATGGCTGATGTGTGATTGCATGTAATATGTGTACTTGCATTATTACAAAGGCTGTTAAACACATTTTCTGCCTATCAGATTGCCATATCAAGGAAGCGAACAGTTCATGTGCGTCCGCCCTCTCTGTGTGAGTTGGAGATCAGTTTGCAAGGAGTTAAACTAATCATGAGCCTGGAGGATGAATATGACTCCCTTGACGAGGTTAAGACAAATAAATGATCTATAATCCTTTTATTATAAAAAAAAATAGAATCGAACAGGAAATATTCAACAGCGTTTGATTTCTGTTTTCCGGCTTTCTGTGTCTTTACAGTACGACAGATGTAGTCACTTCTTCCAGATGAAGAACATTTCGTTCTGCGGATGCCATCCACGGAACAACTGGTAAACAAACAAAACTGTCCTCTGGCCTTCTGTTGCAAATGCACACTGTAACATAAGACAAATGGCATCACATTGCTTCCTTCTCTCTTCAGCTACTTTGGATTCATCACGAAGCATCCAATGCTGAACAGATTTGCTTGCCATGTGTTTGTATCCCAGGAGTCCATGCGCCCTGTAGCTGAGTGTGTTGGGTATGTTCAGTTTTTCTTAGTACTTCATTTGTGAAGAAAAAGATTTTTCTGTTTTGTTGTTTTACCAGGTAAGTCATGTCTAATTTAGCCAAACCGATGGTTTAAACAGTTGTGTTCAGTGTAAGGCTAGGGTTCACCGACTTCAAAAAAACTTCTGGAGTTTGCGATTCTTTTCAACCCACTAAATTGCTTTACAGAAAATCCTTAATTGATCCAGTTTGCTTGCCAAAAAACAAAGGTCACAGAAGAAGAAAGTAGCCAGGGAGGGTCCATATCGAATTTGTTTGTGAAGTTAATTTAGTCCTATTTACTAACTTTATTATTACACCATTATAATTATTACCATCATTACACCTTTAGTAATGTGTCACTTATGAGCCATGTATGTGCTTTATCCTAATTTAATTTCTCACACTAAAATACTGGAACGTTTATTGCTTTTTAGGTATGATGACTTACTCAAGTCATCAGAATAGTTCTTTATATATTCTGTGATGGTTGATTACTTTGCAAAAGCCTGGAAATTATACAATATTTAGCCGTGGGTGCATTTATAAAGTGGTTTGATCACCGTTAAAGTGCATTTTACTGCATACAACTTTAAATGTTGCAGACTGTGAGCAGTGATCCACGTTTTTGCTTACAAGTGTGAACATTGAATCAGCCATATTGGGCTTGAATAATTAAATAGAATAATTAAATATGGTAATAGTTCACATCCGTGGGTGGATTAAGAGCGGTTAGCAGAGTTTTGGTTACCCCATCAGCTTCTCATGCTGCTCTTTGTGAACACAATCATACGCACAACAGACACATTACAACAAGCAACTTCTAAGTCCTCAGTTCACATATGTCTGCCTTTCTTTAGACGAGCCTTCCAAGAGTACTACCAGGAACATATGGAGTATGCCTGCCCCACTGAGGACATATACCTGGAATAAGATGAGTCACAATGGCAACCCTCTTCCTCTACAGCTCATGTACATTCACCAAGTTAGCCACCAGAGGACGCTGTAAGCTTTTTTTCTGCTCCATTGTAAATTCCTCTTATCCTCCTGAAACCGTAATCCTCATTTCTACAGTATGCTTGTCATTTGACTGATTTTGATCATCCCTCTTGCCTTGTTTAATTCCATTTTCTTGATGGATTGATTGCCTGTTTTCTTTTATCTTTTTCTATGATATAAAAACTAAGATGCTGAGCACCTGTTTATTTTAAGGTTCCTCTTTTAAAAATGAAAATAATCTACCTACTACGGCTGTATCACTTTTCAATGCATGGCTAGTAGGATTTCCGCACACAGACACAACCACAAACACACATATCTAAGTGAACAGCAAGCAGCTGAACAATCAGTGAGGGCATCGTGTCGAATCAAAAGGTTGGCATTTCAACAAACTGTAAATAAGTTTTTGTTCAATACTTACAAACAGCTAATTAGCTTTTTACTGATGGTGAATTTGGAACTGAGTAGAAAGAGAGACTGGTCCTTGATTCAAGCTTACCTCTGTGTCCCATACAAACTTAGTGTGTGTTGTAAATAGCGTGTATAGAAAGTAGACATAGAGGCACCTCTTTAATGAAGAATCTGTTGTGGCGGACTTTGTTCATAGTTTCGATGTGAGTGAGAATAACTCATTCTGACAAGGCTAACTGCAGATGTAAGAAAAGTTGACTTAGAATGAACTTTGATTGTCATTAGCTCCTCAGATAATTTTTCAACCTGGATTAGATCCAGTAACTGTTTGCAAATCTGAATGATACAACACCATTGTCATTCCATCTTGTCCTCAAATTTGCACTGCTTGTTGCCCTTTACGTGAGGAGCAAATCACTGAACAGTTGAACTTGCAAATCATAGTGTGCTTCGCTACAACTGGTGTGATTTTAAGGTTAAAAAAAAAAAGAAAAAGAAAAAAAAGGCAAAGGCAAAGGCACTCCGACAAGCCATATTTTCACAATTCTGACTGTTTTAACTCTGTTTTTTGATGATGAGCTAGTCTCCATTTTCTTTTGACTTGGACCTTTCAATGAGGGAAAAGGAATGACTAGATCAACCAGCAGCTGCATGCCAGTAACACTGCAAAGCACCTGATAACTTCTGGTCACGGTATCACAGTGGAGTCCACTCTGTAATCAAGCATTAAAAAGGAGGTTTTACAGTTGTGTGAACGGTTGAACTTGAACAACTTTTTCAGTAAGATAGATAATAAGAATAGCAACCTGTCACTGACCCATTTCTTGCTGGTAGTCTGATCACACCACAACTGGCGCCGCACCGTACCTGGAGGAGAGGCGTGTTTAAAAGGTCACAGCAGTCATCGGTTATCTGAAGTTTCAGGGTTTCAAGCTCAGTACCCTCAACCCCCCTAATTGTATATTCAGACACTGTTGATCATCGCGTTCTGCTTCTGTCAGCCGTAGTGGCAACAACCACGATTTCAGTGGTAAAGAAAAATTGGAAGATGAAATAGGACAGAGGATTTTATCTACATGTGTATCGCTGTCAATTAGATCATGTATATACAATAGCAAATCTATGATAGTGCTGTGTCCTTTATGTTTAGTATGTTGATTAAATGAAAATGTACATTAATTGAAAATGAACTTAAAAAAAGATGACGACCAGATGAATACCCCAGAAGAAAGATAAAACATGTTGATATGAGCGATAAGCAATAATTTTATTTCAGTGTCTTTCGCTTTGGCACCAAGGGTTTTGGGCTTGGTCCCCACCAACTCCACAACTCTCCACAGACTGGCTTCAGCAGCACATTTGTGAGTTGCGACATTTCTAGTATGCAACACTCCAAACCAGAGTTCCCAGCCAATCTGCTGTTAGAGCTGAATAGTGACTGAGTCAGCTGCCACTGGAATACTATTATTGTGTCTTGCAGATTATAGTAATTGCCTTTGAGCTCATTTTCAGTTGTTCATCTATTTGCTTCTATGTTTTTCTATCTTGTTACAGCCAAGTTAAAATCCCTCTTTTCACACAGCAACACAAAGAAAACCTCCGAGGATGATCTAGTCCCATATAGCCGCTGAGAAATACAGTTAGACTGACTTTCAACTTTATTACTTCAGCAAGATTCTTCACTGTATACCTAGAGCAAAACAGTACGTGACAGAACCAACATATCCTATCTTGTATCTTTAAAAACAAGAATTGTAAAATTCAAGGGAAAACAAAGAAAAAAAAAGTCACTCTGCCTTGTCATGGGTTTGGTCCTACGAATAAAATATATGCTTGATGTCTGAAAATTTTGCTGTTGTCTTTATTGATCCATTCATCAATTGCGAGATTCAAATGGATTTCAGAACATTTACGGCAAGGTAAATTTGTAGAGCACATTTCATGTAGAAGACAATTCAAAGTGCTTTACAAAGAGATAAAGAGCAGAAAATGAAGAAAAAAGTGAATCAACAAAAAAATAGATTGAAAGTGAAGGGTTCAGATAAAATACATTCATGTTTGTCATAAACAGAACTGTTTTCAGGCTGGATTTTATACATTGTCAGAGTTGAGGCCTGCCGTCTCTTCAGGAAGACGGTTCCAGATTTTAGCAGCATATGTATAAATGCTTTTGCTCCCTTAAAAAAAAATCTATGGACATAATAATGAAATAATAATAAAATAAATGGACATACAGTACAAATTAAATATGAATGAATCTAGTTGAAGACAGAAAATAAACAGTATTCAGCTCCTGTTAGTTCTACATGTGTTCAATGGTAAAATCTCCTCATAGAGGGAAATTTGCTGCAGCCTTTAGCTTATGCAAACTTGCACAAGCTTTTTCCTTTTCAGGACAAAGACCAGAAGATTGAGGTTCCACACACATGCACACCGTCAGCAGTGGCAGCAGCTGGGTTTGGGGGTACACTGAGGATTGCAGCAAGGCTCAAGATTCGGATCTGTTCCTTTTGATATCTGGCTTTCTCCAAATACCATGGAGCCTTCAAAGTTCGCCTTAACTTTCTCGATCTCCTCAAGCACGGGTTGGATATCGGGTCCAGACAGAGGGTAGTGCTCCGAGGGGTCGGCCTCCAGGTCGAAAATAAGAGGGGGGTCGTGGGCTTTGAGGGTCGCGAACAGTGGGCAGTCTGGATCTGGGGTGGTACCACTGTGGGAAGCCCCTGATGGAAAACATCAACATCAAGTTAAAGTTGTCCTTGCCTGAGAGACAATTCTTTATAATCACGACATCATGAATGAGAATCGTGGCACCTCTTGTATAGAAGTGAGCCTTGTATTTTCCCAGCCTGAGGGCAAACAGGCCATACATTTCACTGGGATCTGTCGGGTAGAACATCATTGCCTCCCTTTTACTCTGCAAAACAAGACGCATAAGTCAGCTTAGTGTTTATAGCACTTCAGCCTTTAAAGAATATGAGATGCAATACAGCTACCTTTCTTTGGTTCAAAAGCAGATTGGTCATATCAAACCCGTCCAGCATCACTTGTGGAAGTTTGGCTCCAGCCAGGGTTGCAATGGTGGGAAGGATATCAAGAGTGCTGGCCAATTCATGAGTTACGCCTTTACCAATGCAGTGAGAAAAGATCAGCACTTACTACAAAGTCACAGTGGTTTTTAGTTTCAGAATTACACGAAAACACTCTGGGATGCAAGATAACGGTGTAAAATGAGACTACTTCAACAGAATCCGCAATAAATTTCTGAATGTGTGACAGAAATAAGCAAAAATTAAAGTTGTGTCTTTATATAAGAATACACAAATCGATGCTTTAGGGTTTCTACCTGGCCTGATGGTCCCTGGCCAGTATGCGATGGCTGGCTCTCTCATGCCCCCCTCATACGTGGTACCTTTCCCACATTTCAGCGGGCCGGAGTTTCCTCCACGGGACATTCGCATCAGCTCAGGCCTACGCACAGAGACATCACGCATGCGTGTTGGTAGGTGTTTCTGCCTTTTTCAACTACTTACCAAAAAAATAGCAGCAATAAATGATGAATAAAGGCCTAAAGTGCAGACTCTCAGCTTTAATTTAATTACACTCACACCAGACAACAAGGAAGGAATTGGGGCTAAAAGCTCTTTCAGGTGCCTCTGTGCTTTCAAGCACAATTCTGACACGCAAACCAACCCGTTATCTGAGGTGAAAAAGATGAGCGTGTTGTTCATCACTCCTGATTCCTCCAGGGCTGTGATCAGGTTTCCTATGGTGTTGTCCAACTCCAAAAGAGCATCTCCAAACGGACCTCTTAAAGACCGACCGGCTGCCCCGACACCTGCATACTGCGGGTAGTGGGTGTGCTGCAAGACGGCATGGAAGTGGTGTCAAGTATTAGACGGAATCAGTTCAAATGTAGTATAGAGCTTGAAAACATGTGTCATCAGGCGGTGAAATGTTCTATTCCTGATAAGTCCATCTGCTTACATGTGAAGGATAGTAGAGGAAGAATGGCTGCTTCCTCTTGGCTGACGCTGCAATAAAGCTGGTTGCAAAGTCACTGTAAGCCTTTTCCAGATCAAGGAAGTCGACCGGTTGTTGCTTAATGGCCTCGTTGTACATTAACGGGACAGTGACGGTGCCACGATCACAGAATCCAAAACACTTCACGTCCGGTGGAAAGCAGGTCAGGTTGTGACAAGGACCCTGTTGCAAAAATGGTGGAGAAGAGGAGTTGTAGAAAACACACAACGCTGGGGAAAAAAATGTCCCTTAAAGCCTTGTGCCATTTTTAATTAAGATACAAACTGACCATGTCATGGGAGTATGGGATCCCCAGATACTGGTCAAACCCTTGTTTGGTTGGAAGAAACCTCCCGTTGGCTCCCACTCCTAAATGCCACTTCCCCATAGCAGCTGTGGCATAGCCCAGAGGCTTCAGCACCTCAGCAATGGTGGTCTCATTCAGAGGAAGGCCTCCTATGGAGCCCGGGTACAGCACACCTGGGTAGACACCTGAGCGAGTCTGGTAGCGGCCTGTCAATAAAGACGCCCTGCGAACGGACAAATACATTCAGTGGAAAGACCATTAAAAAATGTGGAGGAGCAAAGAGAGCTACAGAAAGGTGTATCACAGGATACCTGGACGGGCTGCAGACGGGGCTAGTGCAGTAAAAGTCCGTAAAACGGAGTCCACCTGCTGCCAGGCGGTCCAGGTTAGGTGTGAGAGAACTGGGGTGTCCAAAACAACCCAAGTCCCCGAAACCCAAATCATCCGCGAAGAGAAGGATGAAGTTCGGCGGTGATGCCGAACAGGTGAACAACAAACAGATAAACAAGCAGAGAAGGTGAGCGGAATCCATCCCGTGTCGACCCTGCAATCAAAACAATGTTGCATTCAGTGTACATTTGGAAAACAAATCCGTACGTAACTGTCTACCCCCATGCACTGCAAAACCATGATGGAATAGAAAATGGGTCAAATATGATCAAATAAAGGACTTTGATTTAGTAAGTGAGTGAAACAAAGAGAATTAAATATTTGTATTAAATCTATTGTAGGGCTTGAAACGTCCACTTTGTCTCCGATATTTCTGATGACCCTGAATGCAGCGCAGTTCAAAGCAGCGGACGCGCACAGTTGACGTCAGTCTGGGGCAGGAAATGTAGTTCCATATAACAAGTCTGAGAGCATAATGCAGTCCAACATTTTAATGGTGTTTTTAGTATTCTTCATTCTATTTCCGATATATTTCTTGGTGTATATTATGTATGAGGCAGAAAATAAAGACTATAGGAAATGTATTTATCCTCCCGTGTATTATGTTCCCTGCTCATATTGCTTCTGTACTCTCTGACACCATGTTAATCATAACAAAGACTGGGACTGTCTCTCAGGGAAGTAAACTTATAGTTAATATACATTTTCTCAGCCTTTTGTTTTGTCAGACCACTCCTCTATTGGATTGTAAATAAACAAAGACCTAGCCTGGCGTTTTGGGATTCAGCTTGAAACCTTTCTCACTGTGCCATTAACTGGGGATGATGAAATTATTCAAAATTATGGTCATTCATAGTATCCCAACTTCTATGAGACGTTTCATGGCCACAAAATAAGCATGCCCTTTAGCTAAATGCTCACTGATTTTGCAGAACAAAGTTCCCAAGAAAGTCCTGAGCTTTACTCTCACTTCTGATCTGTTTTATGTTTTAGTTTATGTTTTTTGCAGACACTCTTATCCAAAGCAACCTACCAAGTAGGGGGCACCAAGAGTTGAACTAGCGACCTCCTAATCTGCAGTCAAATGCTCTACCGCTGAGTTATACCGACAGTAAACCCCTGATTTGATTATTGATATCCAGCTGTAGGGCTTATGACTGCTTTCCAAACCTCTTTGCAGACAGGATTTCTTCCATTGATTTGAGCTGAAACACGATCAGAGAGTCAGAGAGGGGGACCGTGTGGTCATCATAAAGGATTTTGTGACGTAGACAGAAAAGTGGACTTTTGTGTTTCATCTATTCACTAATAAGTAAAGGAAATGTATTTTCTATATGGGGGAACAAAACATGTGTCCACAATATAAATTATACCATTTAAAAGTGAATGCACGTTTCAATGTCCCACTTCCATTTGGATAGATACAGATTTAATTAAGTCTCCACAAAATGAATACCAATCAATGCAATGTCCTCTGAAGTCAGAAGCACATAACCCCATGTCTGTCTGTGCATGTGTGTGTGTTTATATTTAGATATCAATTGGCTTGCATGCTGTCCAGCACTGCAGTTTAGCCTAAGGGAAATGAATACTTTTGAATCATCCTTCACTTTCATGGCTCTCAGTAGTAATGACCTACATGCAGCAATCAGTGTGTGTGAGAGAGTTGGATGGGACTAGGGGAAAACAGAAACTATCTTACCAAACACAGATGCTCCATAATGATCAAAAGGGTTTTTTTTTTTTTTTTTTTTGTTTTGCTTCTATAAGCTGAATGTTTTAATGTCGTTGACAGACTTAGATCACATTTATTTTCAGTATTTGTTACATGTGTGCATGGCTCCCCATGTGCTCATGTCTCTGTGTATTCATCCATCAATGTTCCATACCCCCTTGAGCCAAACAGGGTTGCTGGAGCCTTTCCTAGCTGAGAATGGGCAGGAGGCAGGATACGCCCTGGACAGGTCCATCGCAGGGCCACACAGATACAAACAACCATGCACACTCCTACTCACTCCTAGGGCCAACTTGGAGGGTCAACATAACCTGATATGTATGGTTTGTGGACAGTAGGAGGAAGCCGGCGTCCCCGGAGAGAACCCACGCAGACACAGGGTGAACAGGTCCCAGTCCCCCGGGGACTCAAACCGGGAACCCTCTTACTGTGAGCTAGTTCCAACCACCAAACCACCGTACCGCTAAAGACTAACAAGCATGCATTGAGAAAAGCTACAGAAGAAGCTGTTCTGTGAAACTAACTAAAACTGTGTCACTGAGAGCTTTGATGATATGGCAATTATTCATTCAAAAATGTAAAATAAGTTTACAAGGCCTCACACTTAGTTCTGCTAAATAATGAGTCAATCAATCGTCCATCCTCCTGTACTGACATAAACAGAAGCAGCCATCATTCAGAGCAAATAATGAATGATTGCAGGGACTTTGAAACCGCTAATGACTTGTGGTAGCCTACAGTCAGGGCCAGAAATATTTGGACAGCAACACAGTTATCCTCCTTTTCCACCCTATACCCCACCACAATGGATTTGAAATAAAACAAACAAACTGTGCATTAACTGTAGACTCTCAGCATTAATGTGAAGGTGTTAGCATCCAAATCGCATTAACAGGATTGAAATAGCAACAGTTTTGGTATGTGTTGCCCACTTTTCAAGGGATCAAAAGTAATTGGACAATGGGCAATAAGGGCTGCAAATAACTCAGAAGGTGTCTCCCTCGTTAACCTGTAATCAATTAAGTAGTTAAAAGGTCTGGGGTTGATTCCAAGTGTGTGGTTTTGCATTTTGGAAGCTTGCTGTGACCAGACAACATGCGGTCAAAGGAGCTCTCTATTGAGGTGAAGCGGAACATCCTGAGGCTGAAAAAAAAGAAAAAATACATTAGAGAGATAGCAGACATGCTTGGAGTACCAAAATCAACAGTCTGGTACATTCTGAGAAAAAATAAATTCACTGGTGAGCTTGGGAATTAAAAAAGGCCTGGGCGTCCACGGAAGACAACGGTGGTGGATGATCGCCACATACTTTCTTTGGTGAAGAAGAACCCATTCACAACATCTACTGAAGTCCAGAACACTCTCAGGGAAGTAGGTGTATCTGTCTCCAAGTCAACAGTAAAGAGAAGACTCCATGAAAGTAAATACAAAGGGTTCATGTCCAGATGCAAACCATTAATCGAATCTAAAAATAGACAGGTCAGAGTTGAATTTGCCAAGAAACACCTAAAAAAGCCAGCCCAGTTCTGGAAAAGCATTCTATGGACAGATGAGACTAAGATCAACCTGTACCAGAGTGATGGGAAGAAAAAAGTTTGGAGAAGAAAGGGAACGGCACATGATCCAAGGAACACCACATCCTCTGTAAAACATGGTGGAGGCAATGTAATGGCATGGGCATGCATGGCTTTCAATGGCACTGGGTCACTTGTGTTTATTGATTACATAACAGCAGACAAGAGTAGCCGGATGAATTCTGAAGTGTGCCGGGGTATCTTTTCAGCCCAGATTCAGCCAAATGCTGCAAAGTTTAATGGACGGCGCTTCACAGTACAGATGGACAATGACCCCAAGCATACAGCGAAAGCTACCCAGGAGTTCATGAAGGCAAAAAAGTGGAATATTTTGCAATGGCCAAGTCAATCACCAGATCTTAACCCACTTGAGCATGCATTTCACTTGCTCAAGACCAGACTTCAGACAGAAAGACACACAAACAAGCAAGAACTGAAAGCTGCGGCTGTAAAGGCCTGGCAAAGCATTAAGAAGGAGGAAACCCAGCGTTTGGTGATGTCCATGCAGTCCAGACTTCAGGCAGTGATTGCCTCCAAAAGATTTGCCACAAAATATTGAAAAAAAACTTTTTTGTTTGGGTTATGCTTATTTGTCCAATTATTTTTGAGCTCCTAAAATGTGGATTGCTTGTAAAGAAATATGTACAATTCCTACATTTTCAATCAGATATTTTTGTTCAACCCTTTAAATTAAACGTTACAACCTGCACTTGAATTCTGTTGTAGAGGTTTCATTTCAAATCCAGTGTGGTGGCATGTAGAGCCCAACTCGTGAAAAATGTGTTACTGTCCAAATATTTCTGGCCCTGACTGTATATCAGTAATGGTTTTGCATGTGTCACGAGGAAAAGCGACTGCAGAGGATAAAGCGCACCGCCCTGTCTATGCAGTGATTCAGTAGAATATGACTACTCTGACCTTCTAATCCCAGTAAACAACAACTGCTGTTGTGACAAGCACAGAGCAGAATAAGCAATCTGACGCAGCTGAGGCCACAGAAGGGTCCTCACCTCGGCAAGGCATGTTGTTTGTAACTACCTCCTCAGGAGGTTGTTCTCGCACTCATTTGGAGTTGGAATTTGGGCACCTTTAAATAGAATAAGCTGTCCTCCCAGAAAAAGAAAAAAAAAACTCAGATGAATTAATGTTCCATGAAAGAGATTGCGAGTGTCTGCATGTACGAGCGTGAACATCTGCTTTCCCAGCCTGTGGGAGGTGCGTATGTGTGTGTTGATCTGTGTTTATGACCGTACACTAGAGGGGGAGCACATAGCCATAATTTGTGCGCTTCAGGCAGATGGAGCTGTGAGAACAAACAAACACTTTAGTAGAGCTGATAGGAAAAATGAATCTGACTCACCACCATCAGGCCTTAGGAGAAAGACAAGGAGAAAGCTTCATACCTGCAGGAGAGTTCCCATCCCCATCTTTTAAACCTCTCTTTGCCACTATCTCCTCGGCAGGAGACGCTCTCAATTTTCTGCTCATTTTCCTAATCTATTTGGCTTCACAAGAAGCACAGCAGGTATTATCAGGGATCTGAACCAACGGTAAACAAGCCAGAACAAGCCAAGGATTCTCATCTTGTTTTTTCGGTTTGTTATTTCACACAGTATTAACAGTCTGAGCGTGTGGATTAAACTGTGAAGGGTACTGCAGCAGTTTGTAAATCAGCACCTTGGGGATGTAGGAATGCTGTTTTGGCACCAGTGGGCGCCATCAGATCACTGTAGAAATTGTTTCATTCAAGCAGCTGTGGCAAAAAATATTGAACCATTTGTCCCACAGTCTCTGCTAGATCTGATCCCCCTGGGCATGCAGTAGAATGCACTGAGCAGTAATTGGGCCACAGGGAAAGAACTGGCCGCTGTACCACATGTTAGGTAGTTTACACAAGCCAGATTCAGGACATCTTCTTTGTCTTGAAATCTCTACCTATGCAACCCATCTCTCAAATTGAATGGAAATCAAAGTCTTTACTCTCAATATAGGATTTTTCATCTCTTAAGGTATCACTAAAAGTGCATTGTGACTAAATGGGCTCACCAAATTCCATTCTGTAAATTTAGTTAATTCTGTAAATAATGCAGGATCAGGCAGTTTGTGAGCCTGTTTTGTAACAATGATCTTGAATTGGGATCAACCTGTACCTTCAGTGATGAAAAGCCATTGTTATTCTGGCTGGTGAGATGTGGGAGCAGTAATAGAAAACATCCTGGCAAATAAGCAGAGGTTCATTGGCACAATAGAGGCTGGATCAGAGCATAGAATTATGCAATGAAATCTAACAGGCCTCCGTGGAGCAATACGAGCTGAAGAACTCATAAATGTTTGAGGGCCTGCCGGGGTAATACGTGCTTTTGTTGACGTTCTCGGCTCACACACTGAGGCAGGCATTGTGCTGCCATATATGTTCTCTTCATGTCAACATGTGCTCAAGATACTGGATTTGTGCTTGTGCTATAACACCCACATGTCCACAGAAACTGGCTTGTGGTTATGAACAGACGCTTTAACACATGTATTTTGAGTTTATTTACGTTACATCTCTGGTGGGAATCATGACCTGCTCTTGGAACCATTTAAAGAAAGGCTAATGATTAGCCTTTCATGCCCATTGCCGTTCTTCAATCCCCTCCAGCTGCCATTTGCTGCCACTGTGGAAATCAACCTCACAAATGTTTTAATCTTTCTCAAGCGGATTTTTGCATGACTGATAGATGAGATATGATGTAAGAGAAACGGGCCACTTCAGGTTAAGATTTGCACAGTAAAGAAACAGTCATTCAAAGACATTTTCTCTTGCATTTGTTGTGAAATGAGATGGAAGGAGTATTCTAAGTGCTAACGCTGATAAAAGATTCATGCTAAAATATATTAACACTACAATTGTGTTAAGACATAGGGATTTCACATTCCACATCTTCAATTATCCCGTCTCCCTCACCTTGAGATGTACACTGGCTCAGTCAGTCCATAGGGAGAAATACTTACCCAATCACATGCTTATTTCCATATTGATGCAAAGATTGCTTCTGAAAGCTGAGAAAATTATCTCTTCTCAAATTTGAATTTTGAATGGTTTCTGTTCACGTCCTCAGGTTTGATATTATTTTATATAAAAAAAAACAACCAACCAAACAAAACAATCTTTTTAAATCCTGTAAATGTTATCATCGTTCATGTTAACATTCAAATCAACCTGCATTTCACACCAATTTCCACAGCTTTTGTTAGCTCTCAGTCTTTGTACACACTTTCCAAGGTTAGTTAGGACAGTTACAGAGTGAATGCAAAGTACAATGTGACTTCATGATTTAGCTTATCTTCATCTGCTGCCTGTTGAAGCGGCTTCCTGACAGCTTTATCCTTTATACAAACAGGATCTGATAAAGTTAGGTGCAGATAATGTGCTGTAAAAAACGTGGGACCCTTTAAGCATCAGTTATTTTGAAATTATGAACCACAGCTTAGGGAGAAATCAGGTCAACACATTTTTTACTGTTAGATATTGCCACTGGGTAGGTTAACCGTGTTTTGTCTCCTTCTTTATACAGAATAATTAATTGATAGTAATTGTTATGCAGTGACATTATTGCTATGGTGAGGGGAAATGGAGACTTGTTTTAACAGATTCGTCAACAACTTTCCCATCAAGATGAGAGAAGGACAAGTGATTTGTAATCCTTTTTGTTGTTTTTTTCTTTTTGTTTTCAAGAAAAAAATGGGCTTTTATGAATGGAGTTTTCATGGTATCCGTTACATCAAAGTACTGCAGTTTTCTTCCATTTTCTATAAAGGTGCAGTTTAATTGTTGATATTAAATCTATGACTTTACCAGCACCAGTCAGTAATTTTTCCTTTGCACTGCCACATTGCTGTTATAACAATCAATGTAACTGGTGGAAAAGCCATAATGTTAACATTTTCAAAGCAATATAAAGTGGTCAATCCCTGTTTTGACTCAGAATTAGCATGACAAGCCATTAGCCACCTTTCTTTGAGGAGGGACTCCTCTTGAAGCTGAATCTTACTCTTTGTAAAATCGCTTTTTCAGCTATTATGCTGCATATCAGTTCCCACTCAACAATGTTCCTGGAGTTAGCCTCCAAGCAGATCTGACTCTTGAATCAATTACCTCTTCAATGCCCACAAACCCAGATCCCATTTCTCAGTGTCACGCTCGATAAAACCTATTCCCTGTCTTTCTACAATGTCTGTCTCTCAGTGCCAGTTTTCACTGCTTTTCATTTGTTTCATAGATTTTAAAAGTGTTGGCCAGTTCAAATTCTGTGGAGAGACTCAAAGCTCCATAGAGTAAGATAACTCTGGCTGATAAGAATTATTTTCTATTCTCCTTAGGATTAATATACCGTTTAACATATTAACCACTCACACTGAATACCAAACAGTTTCTCATTCTTTGAAAAATACATTTGTACAAAGTCAGTGAGTATCTATTAGTGTGTAGAACAGATAAATCAGTACTTAAAATACCAAAATGCCCGTTTGCCCGTTTCCAAACTACCTTTGGCTTTTGGATCTGTTGTCTGGTGAATCCTTGAGAAGAGGAATCAGATGATGAAAGAAAGGCAAAGGGTCATATAGCACTGGAGCTTTATAAATGTAACAAAGCGGTCTCTCAAATCAGGGCTAACGTTTTCCTCTGCTCATTCAGTGGCAAGCACATACTTATACCCATCCTCTAAGGATTCCCCTGATATGGTGATCAGCCACTGGAATGGCCTGAGGCTCACCCATCCACTTCATGATACGTTGCTTCATGCACGAACTGAAAAATTCTCAGGTATTTCTGCACAAAATATATCTACCTCTTGACACTACGGATTTACCTTTTATCATATTTTGCAGTAGCTTTATACATTTTTGTTAAAACATTTATGTTCAAGCTCAGCTGAAAAAAAACAAAGGACTAAATGACGGTGAACAATATGTGGTGTCACTGTCTCTCACAACATTTATAAATAATAGTCATTCAAATATACATTTATGAATGATTAGTATATCATTTAAACCTCTTCCAATTGTTTAAGTAGTACAAGCGCAAACCCTCTGGCTGTTAAGGTACAGTATTACTTTGCAGTAGTCATTCGTGACACTTAAAATTCACATACAGAGATGAAAGCCCATTTTATGTGTTTGTATATTCAAATGAGAGCAAATGCAATTTGATAAAGAATAAAAACATATTCAGGAAAACCAAATGTTTATGTGAAAATTCATATTTACAGATCCGCTTTAAAAGTGGGCCAAGAGCATACCACGAAGAGCAATAACATGAATAGTTTTGTAAATATAAAAAAATCCTGGCAAAAGTCCAGGACTGTTTCATTTTTATAAAGAATGGAATAGAACACTTTCCTAAATATGTAACTGCTGATGAGCAAAATCATGCATTCTCACAAAGAAGGGCTCTCTTTGGCTTTGTCTCGATTTCCATTTTTCGTAAATAGACAACGCTTGACACTGATCAGCTGAAATAAGTTCCAGCTTTCCTTGAAGGTGACCCTTGTCAGATTTAGTCAGCATTGTTCTGTTGTTCCATGAATATGTAAATTGTCTTTTTTGGCTCCATTTGAGAGGGGATCAATTTGAGGCTGAAGTGGATTGACTCACTGACTGTTAAATACCCAGAAATCTCATTGACATGAGTGACAGCCGCTGCCCTTCTCAGGTAGGAGAGTGAAAGGAATATTAGGCTACTTGAAAAGCATATGTGACTGGATGTGTTTTTTGGGGGGTGGGGGGGGAGTTGTCATGCTGCAGCTTGTGAGGGTTAATATTAATAGGTAAATTCCTTTTTTTCCTGAATAGAAAGCAGGCCATTTGTAATACAGAACAACTGAATGTAGATTTCTGGTTGCAGATATTTAGGGGCTGGATTCCACTCAGGCACATTCCTCAATTATTGATGTAGGTGTGGATTACCGGTGCAGAGAGGGAGAGTTTACACACACAGGTAAAACGTGATCTATTTCACCCCATCTACCCCATTTCCTATTCCCACTTTCATCTCCATCAGACCACCTCAGCCATCTCCTCCCTGTTTGACTCCACAGAAGAACCTCTGAATCGGCCTCACGATGAAACATGCACCCACAAATACTCACTGATGGCAAATTGCTTGTCAGCTGGTGAAAGGCTTGTCTTCTTCTTGTCTTCACAGAGGAGGCATTCAGCCCCCCCCCCCAAGCCTCTGCCCAGTCTGTCCAAGCCTGGCTCGATGTGACTCAGTTATGCCTGTTCCTCTTCTTTTGAATAGTCAGGTATTGTTTCACCAGCCAGGATCCTCTTACCGCGGGCAACAAAGAAAGGCCGTCACATCCCCGCGCACACACACAGACA